GGGGGCCGCCGCTGCGGGGCTCCCGCCGCATCCAGCCGCGCCCAAGGGGGGGGCGGGTGCTGCGCTGACGGACTCCGGGGCAGGCGTCGGGAGCAGTGGCTACTGTGCGGTCCCCGTGGCTGGGCTGCTCGAGCGGCAGATTCACTCCAGCCTCCGGAGGAGCCGCTGCACCCGGGAGCTGGTCGCGCCGGGCGCCTTTTACGTGCCTTATATTTGCATGACAATGGAGCGTCCGTGACGCTGGCGCCGGCGCCCCGACGATTGGGCGGAGCCCACGTGGGGGCGGAGCGCGTCTGGGGGCGGGGCGGCGGCGAGCTCGGCCGCGGGAGGTGCAGGTCGCCGGCTGAGCGTGGGCAGCGGCGACCAGGTTGCCGCGAAGGGGTCTCCCGGCCTTGCTGCCTCGTCCCGGCTCCCTTCTTGACCTCGCCCTCTGCCTGGCCGTGTCCTCTTCCTCTCGTCCATCTCACTGTCTCCTGGGGAATTCCAAGCCCCCTGCCCCAGGCAGGATGGCCACCTCTTGATGCGGGTCCTGCCTGGTCGGGTGGGAAGAGAAGGGAACTCTGCACGCTTCCTGAGTGGAGACGCCCCCAACCCAAGCTCTGGTGTACCCCAGGCGGCCGTCCTCACGTGTGGCCGAGGGTCACCCCCTCCGTGTTTGGGGAGCCCTGGTTCAGCCCTCGCTTGCTCTTAAGTTCCCACTCGCGTGGCACAGAATGCCCACGCCATGCCAGAGCTAAGCACAGCTGCTTGCCCTCACGGCCAGGGAAGCTTGCTGAAATCGTGATGGCTGCGGACGTGGTCATCTGGGGTTAGCTGCGGCGGCCCCAGGGGGCCTCAGGGCCTGCCTCCCCGCTTCCTCCCAGCCCCGGGAGGCAGCGGACCCTGTGTAAGGCCTGGCCAGGTGAGTGGCCTCTGGCCCAGGCCACTGAGGACTGCCCTGAAGGACACACGCTGGGAAATTCCGTTTTGTTTTATTGACCACAGGAGCGCTGGGAGGCGGGGCCAGGCAATTTTCTCATTAGGAGTTCTGCAGTTTATAGCGAGTATGTGGTTGGTGGGCAGGAAAGAGGGTTTCTTGCTGCTGTGCCGCAGGCGGTCCAGCGGTGGGGACTTGCCAGGGCTCAGCGTGTCCAAACTTGCACTCCTCAAGCTGGGCGGGAAAGACAGCCATACAACGGGCATTCGACTGGGGAAGACCACTCTGCCAGGTTCTGTCCACTCAGGGCGTGGGTGACCATCACACACGTGGGCAGGATACCAGCCCTAGATGCTCCAGGAGGGGTCACAGTCAAACTGGCAGGATAAACCAGGCATGGCCAGGCATGCTGACTTGCACGGGCCTAGCTGCTACCCTCCTTCCTGGGATCCCTGCTTTCCTGGTGGTCAGGCAAGCTCATGTTGGCCTGAGGTCAGTCCCCAGAGCTGAGGACTTTGCAGGAAGAACTTTGTGACTGCTGACTCAGGGCTGTCACCGCCCTGAAGGTGGGAATGTTGTCCAGCCACAAACGGACATCCTAGCAGACAGGCATGAGCCTCTCTGGAACCCAGGATCTTGGTGGGGGTGCCCCCCTCAGCCCTGTGGCAGGCAGTAGGACAGGTTGTGGCCTTGCCCAGGGTGGCTGCGTAAGGGGGCTCTGACCCCAGAACACAATCATTCACAGCCCAGAGTCCACTGCTGCTGCACTGTGACCAGCCCCCAGCCTCACCCAGGTGGGCAGGGAGGGAGAGGTGAGGGGGGGTACCAGGAAGCATGACCAGCTCCCAGCCTCATGGGGGGCCTGGAAGGTGAAGCCTGGCTGTGGTGAAACCCTGGGCCAGGCTTGACCTGTGGGCCTCAGCTGCCCACTACCTAGTCCCGTACAGCCTTCAACCCTGAGCGTAGTTGGGATGGGGTTGGCCTTGGTGGGCTCTGTCCTGGCCATGCCTGTGCCTGCCCAGGGGTGCGTGTGACGGACATTGGGAGAGGTGCAGTGCACCCCTCTTTGCAGTGGACTCTGCCAGTGGAGCAGGGAAGGAAGGGCATGTATGACTTCAGGGCTTTCGTGTGCAGAATCTGGGAGAAATGGCCTTTAGCTGGTCTGCAGGAGGCAGCAGACACAGGCCACTGTGAGCTCTGTGGGAAGTAGTCCCCTGGCTGGGCACCATGTGGCCTGGCTGCGCACCGTGTGGCCTGGGCTCTCCACCATGCTGGCTGAGAGGGGGCTTGGGCTTACGCTACCACTCAGCTCTCTGTGTCACTGTTGCCTTGAGGTTGTGGTTGCTGGGCCTGGGAACTGGGGTTCTGGGCAAGGATGGCAGGAGAAGGCGAAGGGAATGTCCCAAGTATTTGTTAAGAGTGATCCCATCCCGAAGGGGGCATTTGGCCAGATGAGCACTAACAGGGGCAGGCAGGTTCGACGTGATGGGCCCCACGAGCTGACTTGGCCTGCTGCCCTCTCGGGAAAACAACTGAGCCCCAGCTGCCAGTTTGGACAGTGTCTCCTCTGTCCCTTAGTGCACCTAGCCCACCACCCCAAACACTTGCCTGACTCTGACCCCATCAAAGGAGCTGCTTCCTGCCCTCTCCTGGGCTCCAACCCGGGCTAGGTCCCCGAACCAGGCTGCCAGGCTGGGCAAGAGTGGCTTAGCAGATCTGGGCCAAAGCCCTGGGCCACCCTCAAGGCCCTGGGCAGGGAGCAGAGGCCTGTGGGCTGTGGGGGCGGGGCCAGCAGCTAATTCATTAAAATGTGTCGGGGGAGCGTGGGAAAGAGGAGAGCTTTTCTTCCCAGCAGCCCAGACACCTGGTGGCTGAGGGCCTGAGAGGGTAGAGATCAAATAACAAACACCCGCCAGGCCAGGCCATGGAGGAAGACGTCCGCCCAGGGGCAGGAACTGCCACAGACGCCCCTCACATCACGTCAGGCAGGAGGCAGGCCGCTGGGGAGGCCTGGATCCCGTCACCCTGCCCCTTCCCCTCTGACGGGACTTGTCCCAGCCTCCCAGGCCTGAGCCTGTTGGAGCCAGGAGCTGGACTGTCCACCTCTGGCTGTCCCATTTAGCCAGCCAGAGCCTTCAGGATGCAGCTGGGCAGGGCGCCTGGCACCCTGGGCCACTTCCTCTCAGACCTAGTGAACATAGTTTGTCTTGTCTTCTGTCCTCCCCTGAGGACAGAAGGCTCCTCAGAACCTGAGTTGCATTGGGGTCACAGGGGTGCCTGTTATGAACACTGCTAGCAGAGCTGGCCATCAGGGTGGGGCAGGAGGACTAAGTGAGGAAGCGAGGACAGGAAGGACCAGGGTCCAGCAGCAGGGCCTTAAGCACCTGCCTGGGCCTGCCCACCAGGGGCTCACAGGCTGCGAGGCTTCTGCTCAGCCCTCCTTGGTCATACCTGGCCACAGCAGGCAGAAGTGCAGGAAAGGGCACTTCCGGCGGACGCTTGCAGGAGGTTGGCCCCTTCCTCTAAGGTTCTCTCCCCAGGGAGGGGTATAGGCCGCATGACCCAACAAGCCTTCTCCTGCCATGCGCAGAGCGGGCACCTCTCCCCATTCTTGGTGCCACTTGTCCTTCCAGGAGGGGCCTCTGGCCATGGAGGACAGGGCAGCACACAGACGTAGCCCTTCTTCATCTGATCAAGTCCTTGTTGAGATAAGGCCCCTCACTTTGCAATGGATTGTTAGCCCAGCAGGCCCCTTCCTGTCCGATCACAGGAGTCCCATTCAGGCGCCAGTGGCCCCCTCTGGCCCTCCTTGGGGTTGAAAAGTTCAGGGCAGTGTCTTCCTGGCCAGGAGCAGTGAGGTGACCAGAGGGGCCTATGCAGCCCTGTGCAGCCCGAGGGCTCTTCTCAGTCTGGTGTCTGGCCTTGGGCCTCAGGCCTGTGCTGTGTCCTCACTGTTGGTGGCACCCTCTCAGAGGTCCTAGCCCCAGGTGGTTCTGCAGCACCTGGAGAGAAGTGCCCGGCCACCTAGGCTAGGTGTGCAACCAGAGCTCTTTATTACAGGCTGCCAGCTGGGCAGGGGGCTCACAGTGTTAGGGGCGGGAGCCCCAGGACCTCTTGGAACTGGGCAGTCACACGGCTCAGGTGGGAGCCCTCCCAGAAGACTTTGCCGCAGCCGGTGCAGCAGTAGAAGGGCCACTGCCCTGGGCGCCGCAGCACCCCCATGGGGACTGACCCCAGCTGAAGTCGTGTGCCGTTGCCCAGAGTGGCTGGGGTGGTGGTCTCCAGGTCTGATGCCTCCAGCCAGCGGCATGGCCGGTCATAGACAGAGTCCCTGGGGGCTGGGTGCAGTGCTGGACCTGCACCAAGGGAATAAAGTCACTGGGCCCTCAGCCTTGAGCCAGCCTGAGGGCCGCCTGGGGGCCTTGGCCAAGTTCATTCACCATCCACACAGGCTGCCTCTCTTCCAGTCTGGAAGATCCCCCTCATCAGCTCTGTCCTGGGCTTCTGTCCCCAGCTGCCCTGGCCGAGACCCTCCCCCTGCCTTCTGATCCCTGGAAAACTTGGGAGCCCTCTGCTGCAACAGGACTTAACCCTGAGGGACTAGGTGTCAGGGTCTTAGGAAGAGAAGTTTTGTTCTCAGCAAGGACCTCGGGCTTACCTGACGCCTGACTGTTCTTGCTTGGGATGGTCCTGTGGTCACCTGGGGGCAACAATGACAACAGATCCTGGGATGTTCTGTGTCTCACTACAGACTGTGTACACATCCAGTTCCCCGGCAACTAGACTATGTCCCATGATGGACCATGAACATGTCCAGTCCCCCAAGCCATGGAATGTCCTATGTCCCACTACAGACTGTGAACATGTCCAGTCTCTGGGGCAAACTAGAGATGGTGGGGCGAGGGCAGGGCAGACCAGAGGGTCTGTGCCAGGTCTCATCCCCTCCCTTGGGAACTTGCACCTTGGAACGTTCTTGGGGCTCAAAGGTCTCTGGGAAATGTTCTGTGCACAAGATGGGCTGATAAAGGCACTTGGGGCCTGAGAACGGGCACTGGTGCGGGTGGGGGCAGCCCGTTTGTGGCGATGAGCAGATAAGGCCTCTGCCAAGCAGCTCGTTTCGCAACCAGCCAGCACTGGGCTAGGCTGTGGGGGTGGGCGTGTTGTTGGCCAGGGGACGAGGCCATGGCCTCGAGGTGCCAGCAGCAGGAAGGAGGCCTGCTTCCCATGTCTACCCTGTGCTGGGCTCCAGAGCAAACAGTGGGGCTGAGCCGCTGACACACCTCCCACGGCAGGGACTCCGGAGGCTCTAGCCTCCACCGCTTGGGTAAGGGGCAAGCACGAGACTGAGGTCATACTCTGAGGGCCAGGAGCTGTCCAGCTGAGGCCTGGTGGCCATGCTCGGCCCAGAGCTGGAGTAGTGGCAGAGTTGGAGGCAGATCTAGATGCCTGCACAGGAGGGGCCCCTGCAGCGTGGGGAGGGCAAGAAGGGGTGCTGAGAGCCCAAAAGGTCCCTGAGGGAAGCCCCCCTGGTAGCAGCAGGGGGTAACTGCACCAGCTGGTGCTGGGCTTCCCCTTCCTGCCTGCTCAGGGTGGGTGGCCTACACTGCGATTGGTTATCGGGTGTGTCTGTCACTGAGTGTGTGTGCATGAGCGTGTCTGTAGTAAGTGGAAGTGATCGTGTGACCGTGCACAGGTGTGCAAGTGTGTCCCTGCAGTGTGTGTGCACGGAGGTGCGTGATGTGCCTGCACGTGACCAATGTGTGTACACATGGGGGGGAATGTACTTGCAGTGAATGCATGGGACTGATGGTGTGTGTACAGCATGTGAATCCATGAGGACACATGAGCACCCGGAGGCCGAGTGACCAGGTGTCCTACCCTCTGAAGCAGGTGGGTGGGATCTGCCCTCAGTGCACTGACCCTGTACTGTGGGACCTGAGACATCAGTGCTCCGCCCCAGTCTGCCCACCCCCCACCCCACGTACCATGAGCTCAGTGTGGGGCTGCCTGTCCCCAGACCCTGTGCCCAGCCCTTTGGAGACTGGAACTCTCACCTGTGCCACTGGGACCTTCATGATGGCCATTCTGCTGCATGAGGTGCCTCATCATGTCCTGAGAGACCTTCAGGTATTGGTCACAGTTACACACCTAAGAGCAGTGGGCAGACCTGAGTGAGGGCTCCTTCCCCACCCCACTGCCCTCTGGAAGCCTCGTTCCATGCTCAAAATCTTCTGTAGCCCAGGAGGTCCAACCACCCCTGACCTCAAGGCCCCTTCTGCTTAGAGATCACAGTGTTCTGCCCTCACCCTCTCCCAGCCAAGCCCCCTCTAGGGCAGGGCATGCCCCAGCGGCACTGTTGTCCTGGGCATGATCAGGAAGGACCTAGGAGGGTATTGTCTGGAGGGGACCTGTGTCTGGCAGTGACGCTGGGATGGTGTGTCAGGGTCAGGCCCAGCTAGCACTTGGCACTCTGGCCCTTGCCACTGCCCATATAAGGAGTGGGACCCTAGGATTCCCTGGTGAGACAGGCCCCCCTGAGCCTTCTTCCCACACAGGTGCCTGGAACTCATGGGATCCCAGCTTGGAGAGGGTCACAAGCAGAGCTGGAATTTCCAGGACCACTGAGCAGAATGGTGGGAGCGGCCCTGATGGTGATGAGTGCTAGGCGACAGGGTGCCTGGAGGCCACTGCTGTGCAGAACAGGCCCCGCCCTCCAACCACCCTTTCCCACAGCATTTCAACACCGGGGAGAGTGGACCAAAGGGGCCTTTGGGGACCAGCCCAGCTGGGCCAGGCCCAGAGGGCAGGGGGATGGGCTGTTCCCTAGACAGGGCCCCTTTTCTTCCAGGCCCCAGCTGTCCACCAGCAAGCCCCTGGCCATGCTGCCTGTTCCCCCAGGACCCCACTCAGACCCCCACACAGCCTGGGCTCTGGCCACAGGGCTGCAGTGGGTGCCCCAGTAGTCAGAAGTCCAGGCTTCTTCACACAGTGTAGACCCCCCCAAGCATTCCTGGGGGGGCCTTGAGTGGGGGTGGTCCTGCCTCTTACTGGCCCTAGGGTGACAGGTGCTGGTCCTCATGGCACTTGGCCTGGGGAGCAGCAAGTTGGGGGTGGAGCAGAGGCAGCAGGCTGGCCAGCTCACGATTACTCACTGCCTGCCACAGACAGGCACCTCCGTTCAATAGGGCCTGGCCCCACCCTCGGGAAGCACCAGGGATGGTTTTCCCACGGGTGCTGTGGCCATCACCAGCGGCCCTGCCCTGCTGGAAAGGCCGGCTTTGCTGCCTGCCTGCAGTGCCTGGCCAGCTGCCTGTGGACTGAGCCTGGCACCATGGCCTTCCTGTCCACCTTGGGGCCCTGGCCACCGGATCCAGGAGATGACAATATGGCACAGAGAGGCCACATGGCCTTGGCCTTAGAGGCTGTGGTCCAGCAAATAATGAAGGGTCAGAGGGAGATGTACTGAGATCCCTGTTTCCAAGGCCACAGTACCTGGCCTGCAGGACCCCTACACAAGGGGTCTCACATGGATGCCTGCCCTCAGGCCCCAGCAAGGGGTCACATATGGGCTGGGTGGGATGTGAAGAGCATCTGTGGGCTTCTGGATGGAGGCCATGGCCCACCTGGGTGCCTGCAGCATGACCCCTGCAGGTTGGAGCCTGACCCATCCTGCCCCGTGAGTCTGGGAGCCAGGGTGGGGCTGCCTCCACCCCAGAGCCTGGCTGGTGGGAAGGGCCAGAGGCGGGGGAGGGCCAGGTGAGTCTGGAGCATCAGGGCTGGGAAGGCTCCAGGCTCCTGGTCCCAGGGGTCCGCCTCCACCAGGTTCCCACGGCTCCCCAGGGAAGCTTCTGGGTGCCAGCATGTCCCTCTGACTCCAGGCTCTCTGGCCTTGAAAACTGCTGAGGGCAGTGGCATGATGGTGCCTCCTGGGGCCTGATCACCAGCCTGCCTCACCTGGCAGCCAGGCCCTGCCTTGACCCAGACCCAGGGTCCCCTTTGGAGCCCCAAGGAAGAGTGTGGGAAAGGCCTGTATGGGCCACCTCTCCAGAGCTGACAGCAGACCTGTCAGCTGCCTTCACTGGGGCCCCAGGTGGGAGGGGAGTCCTCACTGGACCCTCTGACCACAGATGGGGACTTGGCAGGTGGGGGGTTGGGCATTCCCAGCATGCTGGAAACTCTGGAAGCAAGGCCAAGGCCACGCCCATCAGCCCCTCAGCACCCAGAATTCCCAGCCACACCTGCCAGGGGAGTAGAAGCGATGGCAGAAGTAGAACCAGGAGGCTGAGTCACAGGACCCCGGTGTACCGGCCCTGGTGCCTCCCCCCGCCTCAGCAACCTGTATGTCCCCCACTCTGGATGTCCCCCTGCCCTGAGCACCTCCACCCCAAGCGCTCCCCTCCCTGTCCTAGCTTCCCACACACGATGTACTCACACCCCAAAGAGCTTGAGACACTCAGAGAGCTTGAAAGAGGGTTGGAGGCCTGTGGCCTGTGACAGAGATGGCAGCTATGAGGACCAGATGGACAGATGGCTGAGAAAAGCGGAGTTAACGGCTCAAAAGTAGGAAGGATGAGAATGGTGTGTGGTCGAATGTCCAAGAGCACCCACCTCCACCCCCACTGTCCTCCATGCTTCCCCAGGGCTGGCCACCGGCCCATTTGCTTCAGAGTGGAGCTTCCTGACAAATGGTGTGGACAGTCAGACCAAAGGAAGGATGAAAGGCAGGGGCCTTCAGGATCAGCCTGACACCTCTGGAGGAAGCAGTTGGAGGGCTGGCCTGGGTCTCTCCACACCTCAGGCTCCCAAGCTGTTCTAGTGCTGTGGGAGGGACAGTGGGCAGTGGGGAGGGCCTGTCAGCTCCAGGACTCCTGTCTTGTGTGGGAAACCCAGGCCTGGGTGGGCAGGTGGAGAACCAGGGGAGGGCACAAGGCCTGCCAGGACCCTGGGTCCAGGTCAGCCACCTGCTGATGGGACAGTTTCAAAGTCCACCAGTGTCCCTCTGCCTGTGGATAGAGCTCGTGGCCACTGGCCTAGGCACAGGCCCCTGGCAGCGACATCCCCTTCCCAGCTCTGTTCCTCTGGCCCAGGAAGGGCAGTTCCCACGAGTCCTAGCCCCTTCCCCCACTGGTCAATGCCCTGGTCCCCTTTGTGCTCTGGACAATGTCTACAAGGCAGGCTGGGGGATGGGCTATGGTCTTCAGAGTCAGGCAGGACCAAAGCTGGGTGCCCCAGATGCCCAGGAGGGTAGAGCTGTGAGTATGTGCAGACCACAGAGTCCCCATGAGGCCCCCTTGGATCCCTAGGTGTGTGTGATTGTCATGTGTCAGGAATATATGTAAAGTATGTACAATTGACACAGGGTGGATGTGACTGTGTGTGTGACATGGGAAGTTGGTGTGACCGTGTGTGACACAGGGGAGTGTGATTGTATGTGACATGGGGTATGTGTGTGGCAGAGAAGGGTGACTGTGTGACATGGGGCTGTGTGAGTTGGGAAGTATGTGTGACGTGTGTGTGTGTGAGACATGGAAGTGGGTGTGAATGTGTGACTGTGGCACAGGGGAGTGTGACTATGTGTGACATGGGGGTGTGACTCGGGACGTGTGTGACGTGTGTCTGCGTGACTGTGTGGCAGAGGGGGGTGTGATTGTGACACGGGTAGAGGGTGTGACTGTGATGTGTGTGTGACATGAGAAGTAAGTGTGTGGCTGTGTGTGATGTATGTGGCACAGGGGAGTGTGACTATGTGTGACATGGGGGTGTGTGACACAGGAAGTGAGTGTGACTGTGTGTGGCACAGGGTGTGTGTGAATATGTGTGACATGGGGTGTGTGACATGGGAAGTGGGTGTGGCTGTGACATAGGGGGTGTGACACGCATGGGTGTGGCTGGGTCCCTGTGTGGCAGGAAGGGGGTGTGTGTAAGCTCTGTGGGCTGGGGCCTGCATTACACCATCAGGATGGGACCGAGATGGGGCCTGGAGTCCCTGGCACCTCAGCCCGGCTGCTCCCGCAGATGGGTCGCAGGGATTTGGTTTTTTCCCAGCAGGGCACAGGGTTCGGCTGAGTAAACCTGCTCATGTAGCCTCCCTGCTCCAGGATTCTTGGTCTCCTCCCAGAGGTCTGAGCACCTGATAGGCCTCCTGGGCCTGACCAACTTGCGGTGACCTGGAAGCCTAGGTCTCCTGCAGGCCACAGATCACCCTGCAAAGCAGAGCCTGACTGGGGGAGCCTGCCCTCCTCCCTGCTGGCCAATGAGCAGATGAGAAGTGGGCTCAGGAGCAGCAGAGGGCCCCCACCCAGTGCTCATCTTCCTCCAAGACGGGACAGGGGCTGGCCAGGGAGAAGGTGCGGATCATATCAGCTCCCGTCCTTGGTCAAAAAGTGACATTTCATGGCATTCTGGGTCCATCTCCTCACTTAAGGCTTACATGCCTTTATCCAAGTTTATAGGCATCTACCTGCTAAACCCTGCCTCACAGAGGCTGCCACGCCCACTGGAGGGAGCACATGAGTCAAAAGGTCCCTAGACTGCCATTATGGGGGTCTTTTGGGGAGTGGGGGGCCATGCAGGAAGTGGGGGACAATGGAGGAAATAGGGAGTATGAAGGGGTCTGTGTGGAGAGTGGGGGCCGCGAGGAGGGTCATGGGGGAGGTCGTGTGGGAGCAGGGGGCATGCGGGGCCGTGTGTGGTATGGAGATGTCATTTGGGGAGTGGGGGTCGTGGGGAGTCCGTGCGAGTAGTAAGGGTCATGGGGGGGCCGTATGGGTGCCATATGGGGTGGGGAGTCGTGCAGGGAGCAGGTGACGCGCAGACTGTGGGGGGTGTGGGGCCCTTGCGGGAAGTGGAGAACGTGGGGGCCATGTGGGGAGTGGTGGGGCTGCGCAAATGACTGGGGCCATGGGGGCCTTGCAGGGAGTGGGGGTCATGGAGTCGTGTGGTGCGCGCTGTGCCCTGGGCTGTGTGCAGAGCTTGGCACGATGAGGCCTCTCATCTCAAGCAGAGCTGGCTGGAGAACCCCACGCCCTCCACCCCTATCTTCTGTGTGGACCCCACCATCTTTGGGGTTCCTTGCCTCTTTTCCAGGATCCTCAGAGCCTTGCCCTCAGTTCTTGGAGCGTCTCAACTCCCCTTTCCCTGGGGTCCCC